GTTGTTGTTGTTGTTGTTGTTGTTGTTGTTGTTGTTGTTGTTGTTGTAATATTTATGCTTTATGTCCTGATGCATGCTCAATAATCCAGGTAGATAAGTGAACAAGGTTGAGTCAGCTCCTCTGGACAGGTTCAAGTCTTGGATAAAAGATGGAGTTTCAACGAAGAAGAGCCCTGCAGAGGACCAGACTCAGCTTTGTTAGATTTGGTCTTTATGTGCTAAAACATGTGAGTGAACTAATGAGGATTATTTAGTATCATTTAACAACTATGGTGGCAAAACTGCTTGGATTATTGACGCTGACAGGTCAAAGCATTTGCTTCAAAATTGCAGCGGTTAGTTTATTAGTTGGCTTGAAAATAATCTGTGTACTACTGCTTGATGTGCAAATACGTAGGCTTTTTTTGTTAATTTTGAAGACATGCCGATTGAACATACATTATTAGTTTCATCATACCTCGTTTTAACCCTTTTTGTTTGCATTACATCACATGAAGCAGCATGCCTCCTCTTCTTGGTTTCTGCTTCTTCTCTGATGACACAGTCCAGACAGAAGTGGTTGAGCATCACATGCAGAATGCTGTGCTTTACAGAATCAGCTGACTCGACCGCAGTCATCCCTAAACCCATCTGCACCTCCACTGCAGGTTCAGAGGTGTATCAGTGGCACATGACCTTTGACCTTGACTCTGTTCCTCCTCTGTACTGATAACAAAAGACACATCGATCCCACCTCCATCGTGTTGTGCACAGGTTTGTCCTGACCCTGTTCCTCCTCCTCTCTGCTCTTCCTTTCAGCATTTCTCGCCAGCTGTAGGCGTGTGTCAGGGCACGATACAGATGCAGCTCAAACTTACTCCACACTCGTATGATTCAGCGTGTGCGTGTGTTTATATGAGTGTTTCTGCCTTTTAGGGCACTTTTGCTTGTTGCTGTTCACCTCCATGTGGATCTGTCATCACGTACTCGAAGCTCGGTGTCCTTCACTCAACAAGCTGTAACTAAAAGTACTTTTCAGCTCCAAGCGTGCGCATGACTCACTCAGATTTTCAGTAACACAAAACAAGGACGCTAACAGTGGTGTGTGCTGTCACTGCTTCGGTTATACCAAAGCAAGAATGGATCCTTTAAATGGGCTGATTTCTGTGTGTGTAAATGAATTTTCAAAGATGACGGCGCCGACACACACCAAACTACCTTCTCTTAAGCCACCGTTGTCATGGCCTCTCGTGCACAGGTAGAACGGTTATTTGGTTAGCATCTTAAATAGCACAATTACCGTATTTTCCAGCGGACATGTCGCTCCGCCCTATAAATCGCATCAGTCCATGTTTGTCTAATAAAGTAGAAAAATCCATAAATATGTCGCTTCGCCTTGTGCGTCGCATCTATTATGCGTCACCGCTGACGTGTCGCGTTTGTTACACGTCACCGTCGACAACCCGGAAATGTGGGCCGAACCCGGAAATGTGGACTGGTGTGCCGCCAAAAACCGATGGACTGCCAAATGTCGGCCACTGGAGCGTGCACTTATTTGTTTGCTTGAAATTATAGTAAATGTGTTTATCAGTGTAACATTTGCTTAATAAATGTACTTTAATGGTCAGATCAGCTTTATTTAAAAAATAGTTTCTCTGCCTCAGTGCTACATGAACGCGCAGAGGACGAGAAAAAGAAAGGAGGAACGTCTCGTTTCACCGAAATTTAACAAGAAAAGCACCTAAACAATTATTTATTTGCTCAAAATTTTAGCAAAGGTGTGTCTCAGTCTAACATTTGCTTAATAAATGCACTTTAATGGTCAAATCAGCTGCATTTTGCCGAGGTGGTGCAGCTTTTTTTTGACGGTTCCAAGCAGAGAGCAGAATGAAGGTGAGGAGTCTATGGCAGGCCGATTGTGTCATTAAAACCTGGTGAAGATTCTCAGTCATCCAGGACATGGTAAATTCAAAAAAGTTCAAGAAAAAAACAAAGTATAATAAATAAAGTCCAGTTGTTTTTGTCTTGAACTTTTTTGAATTTGTCATTATAGCCACATTT